TCACGATCGATCGCAGCGCGTACATAAAAACTATAAAATTTTCTTCTCGGCACAACATATGCCGATCGGCCAGCAATATTTTCTTTAGCTAATAGTACAAATAAAGACTTTTGGCGGCTAAAAGTTTCGTAAAAATGCGATTTACCCTGAATACTAGACGTGAATAGAGTTCAGCAAAAAAAATTACGCGCCGCCATGTTTGTTTACCTCCTCCATGGCTTTTAAAAATCCCGCGAGTTATGCGCGTGATTCGCACAGCTAGAACCCAATCCTAAAACTATTGTGAGCCACCTTAACACTGTTGGCTGACTGTTGTTAATGTGTCGGTAACCTGTGGGCCAACAGATTACTGACAGCCAAAAATGGGAACCATTAATCACTTTTACCATTTGTTGAATAATTTTTGATCAATACACGGAAAAGGAAAGATTTCCATATTACCCCATACATTAATTATGCACCATTTCAGAAAGACTAAATATAAAGGTTTCTTAGCAACACTCTATGCATAGTTAATGTATGGGTTTATATGGAAATCTTGCCCTCAGAAATGTGGTGTAGTGTCTATTATGCTTAAAAATAAGAGGAGACAGTCGAACTTTAAGGGCCATTGAAGTGCCTCCAATACACCTTTGACAGAAAAGAGAAATAAACACATCTGACTCATCAAACTGAATGTCATGGGTTTAGCCTTCTACTGCCCTTGGGAGCTACTTAGAGAGATTACTGTATGCCAGCCAAAAAATAATTTTTAATGCAATGATGTCAAGGCTCTAACAGTTGAAAAACAACTCTATTTTAAACTTCGAAAAGCCAACACAACAACAATCATCATTAATAAGACAGAAAAAACAGAATAACCCAAACTGCAGCTCAGCACCAGAGGTCACTGCAAACCCGTTAAAACATTGATTGTAAAAAAACAGGCAGGAGAAAGCATTGACCAATTGACACACTAGTGAGAGAAAAACAATTTGAAGGTGATAAAGCAACAGGAACACAAAGCCACGTAGGGAGTCTGTGTTACTCTGTCTTTACCTTTATTCACAACATAGCAAGGTTTAAATAACTGACTAATTAGAGGTGCTAGTTAAACAAATATGGCTGTTCAAAAGAAAAAAAATGATCGCCTAGCATTAAGGTTGGAAATGAGCCTTTAACTGAATTAAAGCATGAATTGCATTTGATTGAAGTCAATCATTCTATGTTTAATTGCTAACTCTAGGGATTTGCTAGGGAATTGAATTTTAAAGTTGAAAACAAAACTCTCTTCCTTGCAGATTATTTCTCAAAAGCAACACCACCAAGACAAAATGTCAGATGTACCTAGTGTTCAAGCTGCCTGCCTAAAGACTTTGAATGATGAAACAAAGGGGAATTGGGATCGAGAGGTGGATCATCATCTGGATCGGTTCTTCCCTGACTGGAGAAATCCATCAAGGACTTATACAGTCCCTGATGAGTTCTCTTACAAAACACGTACACCAGGTTCTGGAGAGCAAGCAGAAAAGAAGTTTTTTGAACTGTTGAAAAAGTTTGGAGAGAGGCGGTCAGAATGTATGTTTGTAATTCACTCCAGTGTATTTGCCCAGATGTTTTCTACATTGAAAAGTGAGCAGGCAGAGGAGTTCTGGCTGACAGGAGAGCATGATTTTGTTGTTCTTCATAAAGAAAAAGGAATAATATTTTTCCAGGTAAACAGAAAGAATTTTTCAGAACAAATGTATATATATTTGATTTATTTTGTGATTGACTTACAAACTTGCCATTGTGGATTTGTCCAGGAAGTACTCATTCATTATTGAGTGTTCTTATTGTTTACATTGTAGTTACAAAGTACAACAAGTAATCTGGTCTGCAAATCTGTACACATCTTTACCCACTCATATGAAGCTTGTTACAAAATACATAGGCTTAATAATCTGCTGCTTGATAAGGGTATGAAAGGGACCTTATTAATTTTATTAATCTGCTGCTTCTAAAGGTGTGGAAGTTGAAATCAAATCAGTAGAGATAAGAGCCAAATTGCAGTGATTTCCTCATATACTTAAATCATTAGAAATTAATTAGCTTTCTATAATTACCAAATTTCCTCAAATAAGCACCCAACACTTAAGATGTACAATTCAGCTAAAGGGGGTGCTAAATGGAGGGGGGTGCCTATTATTTTCCTACAATGATTCTGCTGTAGTTAAAGTGTAATAAGTTATAAATAAAATGCCATAGAAATAGGTTTAACTTAAATCCCTTGCTATTTTAGAAAGTGAGTGAGGAGAGGACAGTTGAGGGATGGGAGCACTCATTTGAGAGGGGGGCTTGTTTTACAAAATGGTTCAGTTGGAAGGCACTCAACCGGGTTGTTGCACTTTTTAGGAAGTGTGTGGTTATTAGAGAAATATGGTTCGTGCAAACAATCCCTTGTAAGGGATCTTCCAAGTGTTCACGAGAACATGAGTCGACAATGTATAACATGATTAATATGTGATTTACTTTCCAAGAATTTTTGTTTTTGTAGGTGAAGGCAGCTGATACAACAAAGAAGACATTTTCTGATGGAAAGAAACAATTGGAGAAGGATGGACAATCATTACAAGCATTTCTTGGGAGGGACTTGCAAGACAGAATGACAAAGCACATTATTCAGGAGTCGCACACACACCAAGGGTTTGTTACGCCAAGCGGCCCCTCAGTTGGAAACCCTCCTAATGGTGAGGATTGTGAAAATGTAAAAGCATTTTTTGAAGCAAATGAACAATTGCTCCAAAGAAGACAAAGGTTACAAGAGCTTGTTGGAAATATAAAGGCCATTAATAATGAGGTTCACAAGTTCCCAGGGTTTGTTGTTATGCCAAATTGCCCATGCCCAAAAGATTCAGCTACAAAGCCTGCAAATGGTGTCTTTATGGAGAATTGTGAAAATGTGGAGGCGTTTTCTGCATGGTGGGACCAAAATGTCAAGAGGAAGATGGATGTCAAACAAGAATTGTTTGAAATACTTGTTGAGCGGTGAGTTACTAGAATATTATGCTTTTTATTATTTGCTTTGTTGTGATTGGTTTATGCATCTTAGAATTAAATCCTGTTGTCTGATTGTCTGGTTGATGGTTTAAGCCCTGAGAAGGGCTGTCTAGATGTGGTGATTGGTGTTTGACAACCTTAATGTAACCGAGGCAGGTTCTGATGTTGTTATTTGAACAATGAGACAGACTTTTAGCCACATTGAAATTTATTTATACAGGAAAGTACAAAAGAAATAATACTGATAAAAAGAAAGGGTGACTGCAAGCTAAAAGAAATAAAAAGTAACAAATAGCAAATCAATAATTTAAATAATGAAATAAAACAATTAGTAAAAAATACAATTGATTGTCATACAATAGCAAGGCATCAACAAGACAATTATAAAGCATTGCATGACAGAACAGTAATAATTGTGTGACACTTAAAAGACTTAATCCTCTTCACCAAACATAGAACTATTGAATGCACCACTTTCATAAATGGCTGCCGGATTAATATTCTTTTGTTTAAATTTAAATTAGCCTTTCTGGCCTCGCTCGAGATAATGTATTCTTTTGAATTTTGTACTGGAGAATGAGGCCAGAAAGGCTAATTTACATTTAAACAAAAGAATATTAATCTGGCAGCCATTTATGAAAGTGGTCTATGGCGGGCTTTTTAGAATTATACATGAAATGACTGAAAACAAGTCAATACTGATAAAACAATAGCTCAAAACAACATAACATTAGATAAGACTAATTTCAATCACAATTTCATATTTTCCCTCGACTTAAAACTGGGAAGACTGGCAAAATCTCATTCTGTGACAGGACAACATCTGTCGTTACTGATGAACTAAACGATGAAGACTGTAGTGAAATATCTGATTTCACCAATGAACTTTAAGTCAAGTATACAGATA